CTCTCTCTCTCTTTCTTTTTCAAAATGTATGAATTACAATAAATAATTTAGAAAAATAAGAATTGGAAAGAGTGCCTCTCTTTCTCTCTCTCTCTCCAGTATCAAGTTGAACTGACGTATAAGTTTCGGAATGGGCGTTGATCACACGGAAACTTTGAGGGAAAACTTTCTAACATAATTCCCGTTTTCTGATACACTGATGCATAATTTATAGGCCGATCCCATATCCATGCACCTCTTCAGGCTCGACGCTGTTAGATGGCGACCATTAAGAATGAGGCTCTCGCCCATCTTCACGTCCGGGAAGTTGAAGGATATGTTTCACTTGTTGCTGAACTGTTCCGACCACTTCGAGAAGTACCTGAACAACATAGTATCTAAGAACAGTATCGTCGAATGCCGGAATCTGACGTCCAAATTCACCATCGACGTGATCGGATGTTGCGCTTTCGGCCTCGAAATGAATACGCTGAAAGAAGAGGATAATGAGTTTTATCAAGTAGGCCGTAAAATCTTCCGCTCCACTCCAAGGGTCATGCTCAGGACCATGCTTCGAGAAGTGCCGTGGCTCTACAAGCGCTTCGGACATATCATATGTGATCGTGATGTAACCAAATTCATAACGGACATTACCCGAGAAACTATAGAGTATAGGAAGCGGAACAATGTGCGTCGGCACGATTTCATCGATACACTTATCGAGCTCAAGGATAATCCTGACAAACTGGGCGTTAATAGTAGGAACATTACTTTTCCATTTTACGTAATTTATTACTTTATTTATTTTATACTGTCGAATGCATTTAATACGTCCTTATCACTAATTTTTTAGGACAAATTTTCTTCTCTTTTTTATAGAGAAAGCGATAATTCGATATTCGTTGACAAAGCGTTACTAAATGAATTAAGAATTATTACAGAGATTAATATGAAATAATTATTTTTCCAGATGTAACCGATGAATTCATCGCTGCTCAAGCGTTCGTATTTTTCGCGGCCGGTTTCGAGACTTCTTCCTCTACGATGTCCTTAGCAATGTACGAGTTAGCGCAGAATCAATCAATCCAAGACAAAGTTCGAAAGGAGATTAAAGAAGTTCTTGACAGCACTGGCGGAGAAATATTATACGAAAGCATCAAAATGATGACCTATTTGAATATGATCTTTCGAGGTACGTACATCCGTCAAAAAATAATTCTTTAATCATTTAATGAGTCAAGTTTATCTGTAGACATTTGTGAACTGAAAAACATTTTTTCGATAGGATCTCCTGGCAGTCAGGGATCATAACAATTGTAAATAGTTTTTACCCTTGGATAAGTTGCACAGTTCAAAAATATCTTCTCTGCCAAATGTTTGTGTTACAGAGACTCTTAGGAAATATCCAATAGTAATGTTTCTCACGAGGAGAGCTATAAAAGATTACACGTTTGAGGGAACTAAAATCACACTACGAAAGAAGCAACAAGTGATTATACCCGTTCACGCTATTCAGAACGATCCGAACATTTATCCAGATCCGGAAGTCTTTGATCCTGAACGATTTAGAGCGGAAAATATAAAGCAGAGAAACCCCATGTATCATTTGCCATTCGGAGATGGTCCGAGAAACTGTATCGGTAACTTGAAAAACTTATGGCTTTACGTATCATTCACGCAATCTTTTTCGCTTTTTTTTCTTGTACATAAAATTTCTTTCGTACATATGTGTACGTACGCATACATACGTAAGCACACACTTGACTTGAGAAATATCGAAGAGATACGCGCGCTTTTTTTTTAGGAGCCAGATTCGCCGTTAATCAAACGATGGTTGGTTTAATCAAAGTGCTAATGAATTATAAAATAGATGTTTGCAAGGAAACTCAGATTCCACTTATCCATAAACCAATGAGCTCTTTGTTACTGCAAACTACACACGGCATATATGTAAAATTGACCAAGCTCTCTTAACAAGGTGCTTACATCAGGTAATTTGTATATATTGTGTCAGATATAGAATGTATGTATACACTTTTAAGTAAATTAAACAATGCAAAATGATGGAAGTGTCGCGTTTCATCACGGACACATAACATTCGCGGCACATGTTTATAATGCACTGTAAATTATAAAGTTGTCTAATAAACCAAAAATTAAATATATTATAGTGTCGCCAGTCGCGACACATTCAAACGATTTCACATCCGTTTTACCGCAAACCTTGTTTGTTCGTTAACACGAATACTGAATATCGTTTTTGGGTCAAGTTACTCTCATGCAACTCCTTATTAATTTTATACTGTACATCTTATGATTAAAATGGTAAAATTATCGATATACGTATCAATTTGTCAAGTATGTAATATTATCAGTAATGTTAAGATTGACTAGTATATAATTTTGTGTGTGTGTGTGTGTGCGTGCGCGCGCGCGCACGTATACGTGTGTGCGTGTGCGTGTGCGTGCGTGTGTGTGGAGGAGAGACATAATTTCACAACAATTTTCTTCGTATCAAAAGTAAATATGTACACTTGGCTTACTAATCTTTATCGTATTCTTGTCTGCCTTTTATAACAGATATCACGTAACAGGATGTTAATTAAACATTACGTAATATCGGTAATAAGGTTAAGAATAATTAAAAACAATTAATATAATTATTGACAGTTCAATGATGTTCCAGTTTAAATGCGCTGACATGTATTCCAATAATATTCCTCGCTGTCATGTCATGCATCATAAATAATATCGCTTTCTCATTAATGCTTATTCAGATACAATATAGGATACTGTGAATAGACGAGGCTGTTCTGACACATTTCAAGTATGTACATACATGTGTACTTGTTATAAACGTATACTAATTATAATATTAATGAAAATATGTATAATTAGAAGTAAATAATACAAATTATATTTTGAGTTTTAATTTAACTTGTCTTTGAATAACTTATAATATTTGACAAGCTAACTGAGGCATGCAAAATTGTCCTCTTAACTACATTAAATTTGTTCCTAATTAAGCTATTTTTACTTACTTTATTTGTACGATATTCGTATTCTTATTACTGTTTACTTTTTAATTGGGTGTATTTACTATTATGAATGTTTGATCTAATTTAACAAGGGCAGAAATAATCTCAAATGATAATAAAGTATGAATTGCGACAGTGAAACATTTAAAATACTGAGCACTGAAAAAATTCTGTGCACACAGTTTCTGCTATTATATTAGAAGCTAAACTCGGATTACCATTTCTGAAATAGGAATTGCAAACACGTACACATGCGCGCACACATACGCACATAAAGTAGAAAAACTTTCTGAAGCACAGTTTCCTGTAATAAGAAAGCATATGAAAGCATATTGATTATTGCTTATAAAAATATGTGTGTAGGTGCGCGCGTTGATTATATATTAAGCATATATACACTCTGAGATTATATTCTAGCACAGAAATTTATTAATTAAGCTTTTTAGGCGACCATAACCAGCCCGTGTTTTAATAGAGAAAATTTATTGAGAAAAATATTACCTCAGCCACGGTTTGAACTTGGCCTTTCATACTCTTTAGGCGGGCGTCTCGCCAATTCGACCACTGAGGCATGTAATAATTTATTGTTTTGATATATTGTTATATTAGTAGTGGAACCAACACCGGATATTTCATAAAAGTTGCCAACATAATTTCACGTAACGTATTTTTCCACTGTATCGCTATTTTGGGTATGATAAGGATAAGTGCTGATAGTGTCGGTATAGCAAATAAAAGGTGACTGCTTTGACAATCTTAATACATGACATGAGAATGTAACTACATGGCGACTGGTTACATCATGTTTCAGATAAAACTTGACAGTTAAACGCTGGTGATAAAATGGGGTACACAATGCATACGATAATTTTAAATATTTTACTCGAGTGTGCTTTACGCTGGTTCAGACAATGTACTATTATAGCAAAAGTCTATTGATAAAAAGAAAACTATTAATAGGGATTCTTTCTTTTAGTTTGTTTGTTTATGTGATTCTTTATTAACAACAAAACTTGGCATTTACAAAAATATTGTTATCAAAAATTCCTTTTCCTTTCACTTTTTATTATAACAAGATAACCAGTTTTGTTGATTTCTACGCTTAAAATGTAAATCAAAATTTGTCAAAACGAGTCTAGACTGATCTGAGATATATCGCTTTTATCTCCATTAACCTTGCAAATTAATTATAGATGCTAGAAAAATATTAAGCATTAATATTTTACAAGCATCAGCCTTGCGTGAATTACACGGCATTTCACAGATATGTAAAGTAATACTGTAATACGGATATTAGCGTTACAGTTCTGGAATTATAGATCTAAAATGCTAATGTAACGCGCACATTTCTTCTGCCACTAATCCTCACTGCTGCTCGGTGGAGCCAGAAACGACTGTAGATATCTTCAATCGTAACACATACATATACAACTAAGCGTTGTATACATGAGATAAATAACAATACTTCGCTGTAGTGCTGAAATAATATTCAGGTATTTCGGACTATTCTCATTTTGGCAAGTATAATATCTCGAGCGAATCATCCCTCTACAATGGCGTTCTAGAAACTTGTTGCGGGAGCAATAAACTTTCGCCTTGAGTACACCTTGCGAACCTGCACTGTTAGTGAATACACGTAATTACGGCGAATGTGGATGGTTGGCATGGCCACTCGATACACGTTGCGTGTATAATACAGTGTTAAGCGTTATTGCACAATTGCAAGCTCGCGCTGCTCAAAAGAAAATATTTTTGGGAAATTTTATTGACACGAGGCAATTTCGAAACTGAACCATTTTAGGATTGTTGCGATACAAATTTTATAAAAATTTTTTTAAATAAAGATAAAAGGGACAGCTGACAAAGAGTTAACATTTTACGTTTTTCCAGTTATGTTCTCGAATTTTAAATGCCCATGCCAATGCAATGCATGCGTTTCACGCGTGTACACATGTGTGATTTTTTCGGTTAGCCGACGTACACGTAAATCACTTTCACTGCCCGCGGGGTGCACGAATTAAATCTGGCTTGTTCTGTAATTCAATTTTTAGTTTTTAATACTCGCGCTTTTATGCATTGGCAGTTGTCATTTTTCTTGAATTTTTTTTATTGTACTGCAACACAAAACGCACGTAAAAAACTACGTACAGTATATCGGGTTGTGCGGATACGAGGGATTTAACGGCAGGAAAGTAATTAATGATAAAAGAAAGAACCTTGCGGTACATTCGGAGTATTTTAAATTTCACTTAAAATGTATAGTTTTTTTATATTAATTAATTGCTATCATCTTAATGTTTCTTAACGATCATTTCTTGATGATCGTGCGTCAAACGAACATTCGTTCGTTGAGATCTTCAAAATGTTGTCCCACGATTACATGAATTTCGGGGTAAATTTTAAGAGAAAATTCCCTCCGTGTATTATAGACGTAATCTTAAAGATCGACATCTGACAATTCGTACTTTGCATTGCAATATCTCCACTCACGGGGCACGTAGGGGAAAAATAAAAACATTTTTATTGTGCAAATCGAACCCAAGCTATCGATTGAGCGCACTTCGAAGTTCGTCGGATCAGCCGTTGTTGAGATCCGAAAATCTGAGGGCCCGTCAACTCGCGTACTCGCGTAAACTACACGGTCGGTCTCGCGCGCGCGGTTCTAGCTACGCTTATACTTGGCGCGAGACACTACCGTGTCTCGTGCTGTCGTTACCCAAAGTACACTTTGTATTACGGAATTAGATTTTTGGTGACCGTTTAATTTTTAATACAAAATTCGTTTCCATTTATCTTCCATGAATACTTTCTTTCTGAGATTCGTATGTGGCGCGCAAGTAGTTTCAGTCGATCACGGGAAAGAGGGAGTAGTCGCGGACGTAGCTGGTCAGGCGCACAGAGAGTAGTCATTTTGACGGTATTAGTCGGCGCAGAGCAGTTGTCATTTTGTATGAAACGCAGAGAGTTACAAAATGCTTTGTATCGCGCGTAATATCCATCCGCGCCCACGTGCGTTCGACACAATCCCCCTTTTAACACCACGTGACAAAAGAATTGCTCGTTTTCGCACTCGGGAAATAATTATACCTCCGCTCCGAAGGACGGTGTCGAGTCTTGAATATTATAAAACGGAAAGAGAGATGTTCAAACTACACGGGAAAAAATGCCGTTGAAGGAAAAAGAAATGAAGCTGCTTGAATTAAACATTAATGTCACTCGATTGTATTTGCATTTGAGCATGTTTTAAGCATTCAATGAAATATCCAGATTGCATGTTTTTCATCCATTAACTGATGTTATTTCAAACATTTGATTTCGATTACACTGATCTGGTTGACACAACATCAGTTTTTTTACGTGTCATACATGCGGCAAAATTATACATTTGAGGGAAACAAAAAGACTATTCTAAAGTTCACAATATGAAATTTTCAGCGGTTTCGCGCGCTGCTCTTAAAAAAAGTAAGTTTTTTTTTATCGAGAAACGTGTTCTTTTAACATCAGCGTTTTTCGCTAAAGTAAGGATTTGTTCCCGATTTCGGGCAGAACGTCACACGTCCCCTTTCAGCTCCCACTGGGTCATACGTTTTCCTTTTAAAGACGAAGGTTATTAAATTTAAGTGCACCTACAACACAGGGGAGCAATAATTCCCCAATTCGCTCGAGCCAAACGATCTAAAATCTTTCCAAGTTCTCATATGTATACTTTCTTAATTCTATCTGTACACTTCTCGAGATTCCCTCCGTCGGTCGCGCTGGCGCGCAGATTGCTTCCCCGAATCATTAACCTTTATTTCTCACGTTCCGGGGACTACAAGCTAAACACAAACGACCCCCGCGTTCCCTTTGTTCCACGTATCGTTCGCGGTCTCAGCGTTTTCAGCGAGACAGCGGAGTCGTTTTCTAACGTTCCTTCAATTCGCCAAGCGTCGGGGCAGTCGGAGAGAGAGAGAGAGAGAGAGAGAGAGAGAGAGAGAGAGAGAGAGAGAGAGAGGAGGAGGAGGAGAGAGAGAGAGAG